GTTTCTCAGCCATGGCATTGCTGACTTCTGGGGCTGAATCTTTCTCTGGGATGGAGCTGTTATGCATTATTGGGTATTTAGCAGCATCCCTGGCCTCCACCCACCAGATGGCGGTAGTGTCCTTGAACATCCTTGTCCCCAGCTGTGGCACCTCAAGATGTCTCCGGACACCGATGTGTGTCCCCTGGGTGAGCACTGCCAGACTAGACAGACACTTATGACCACACTGTGATTCAGTCCCCTTTCTGAAGTGAATGTCACAGCCCAGAGTGTGAATCTGTGCATCTGAGTCTGTGAATCTCTAATCCTTGCTGTGTAGCTTTGGGCAAGGGACAAAATCTGTCCGTGCTTCAGTTGTCTTATCTGTGAAGTGGGGGGCTCATTAGAGGACCCCATAGCTGAATACTTGGACACAGGAACTGAGATCACTGCTGTTGCCTCTGTGTGGCTGCAGGCATCACCGCCATGGCATGGGGTATGGAGGAGAAGCTGCTGGTGATTGGCACCCAGGATGGCATCATCGCTGTGTGGGACATGGAAGAGCAGCATGTGATCCACATGCTAACGGGACACACAGGTGAGACTTGGGAAATGGGGTTTGTCGTCAGCTTCCATAGTGAACAGTCAGTTCTCAGAGCCCCTTCCCCACAGATTCACTTCTCTGTATTGAAACCCTGGCCTTTGTTCCTGCATCACGTAGCTATAGCTGCATAACAAACCATCCCAAAACACAATAGTTTCAAACAAGCCATTTCTTTTTCTTTTTAAATATGGGATCTCACTGTATTGCCCAGGCTGGAGTGCAGTGGTGTGTTTATAACTCACTGCAACCTCAAACTCCTAGACCCAAGTGATCCTCCTGTCTCAGCGTCCTGAGTAGCTGGGACTACAAGCACATACCACTATACCCAGCTAATTTTTTAATGTTTGTAGAAATGGGGTCTTGGTATGTTGCCCAGGCTGGTCTGAAACTCCTGGGCTCAAGTGATCCTCCCTCCTTAGCCTACCAAGTAGTTGGGATTACAAATTTGAGCCACAGACAAGCTATTTCTGTAGCTCACTTTCTGTGTATTGGCAATGCAGGCTGGGCTCAGATGGGCAGTTTTCTGCTCTCAGCTGGACTTGCTCATGTATCTGCAGTCAGTCAGTGGATCATCTAGGAGTTGGCTGAATCTGAATGTTTTCAAATGAGGCAACTCAACTTTGCTCCATGTGGTCTCTCATCATTCAGTATCCTTCGGGTCTCTCATCCCTAGCAAAGGCAGGGTTTCAAGAAAACAAGTAGGCACTCACAGAATCTCTTAAACCTGGACTTGGAATTGGCACCTGGTCACATTTACATTCTCTTGACCAAAGGAATTCACAATAACAGTCTAGTAGGGAAATAGGCTAAATAGGCTTTCTTCCTTCTTTTCTTTTCTTTTTTTTTTTCTTTCTTTTTTCTGACAGGGTCTTGCTCTGTTGCCCAAGCTGGAGTGCAGTGGCACAATCTCAGCTCATTGCACCCTCAGCGTCCTGGGCTCAAGCAATCCTCCCACCTCAGCCTCTTGAGTAGTTGGGACTACAGACACACACCACCACACCTGGCTAATTTTTGTATTTTTGGTAGAAACAGGGTCTCACTATGTTGCTCAGGCTGGTCTCAAGCTCCTTGAGCTCAAGCAATCCTCCTGCCTTGACCTCCCAAAGTGCTGGGTTTACAGGTGTGAGTCACTACACCCGGCCTAGGCTTCATTTTTTGATGGGAGGAGCTGCAAAGCCACATTGCCACGGGTGTGGATCAGGAAGGGTGAAGAATTGTGGTCCTTTTTGCATTTGTCGACCTCAGACCCTAAGTAAGGTTGTTTATTTCTACATAATCCCTTAACAGATATGACTTATTTCTATAACCAATTGTTGAGTGTCTGCTGTGTACCAGGCCCTGTTCTAGATGCTGAAAAGAGATAGACCAGGGTCAGAACTAGGATGGAAAACTATTCATTTTTGAGGACTAATCTCAAGGGTCCTCCCTTTGGGAGAGATGATTCCCACAGTAGAGTTCATAACTAGCTCCCTCGTGCTCTCCTGCAGCTTGATGTACATAAGACCACATTGGCTAAGACTACAGTTGGCTGGGCGTGGTGGCTCATCCCAGCACTTCAGGAGGCTGAGGCAGGCAGATCACTTAAGCTCAGGAGTTTGAGACCAGCTTGGGCAACATGGCGAA